GGCCGTTACGTCGTTCTCTTCGTTTGCTTAAAAAAGCTCCATCGCCGCTCTCTGTTTCGTTTCTTTTTTTTTTCTCTCTCTCTCCTCTTCTTGTGGGGGGTTGCAGGTTTGCCCCGCTGCGATAGGCGTGGAGTGCCCCACACACGCACACGCGTGGGCACGTAATGCGGAGAGCCGAGAGGGGGCGAGGGCGAGGCGATGGCTCACGTTGACCAGCTCCTGGAGGAGTACCTGCGTGTCATCAACGCCAAGGACGAGGAGATCCACGGGCTCATCCGCGGCCTCGAGGAGCGCCGGTGTGAGCTGCGGAGGAAGGAGGACACGTACAAGGTGGATGTGGCGGGTGCGCAGCGGCGGCGGTAGAGGTCTTGAACGCGCAGCTGTCGGAGGCGAAGCGGGTCTCGGGTGGGCGGCAGGGCGAATTTGACGAGCTAAAGGCCACGCAGGTGCAGTTGCGCACGCTGGAGTGAAGCAGCGGCGCGTGGAGGAGTTGTGGTGTTTGCGGTCGCCCTTTCCGCCCCCGCGCTTGAGAGGCGCAGGCGCGGCGTGTGTGTGTGTGTTTGTCGTCCCGCGTTGCGGTGCCCCGTCTCCCTGCACCTCCGCATTTCACTGTTTTTTTTTGTTTTCTTTTTTTCCCCTCTTCTGTTTCCTCCTCTCTTGCGTGCGTGTGTGCGCGTCGCGCTGCCCCGTCCCTTGTCTCTGCGTTGCTTGCGCCGCTCGCGGGGCGGTCAGGCCACCGACATTTCCGATCAGCAGCAAGAAGATGTTCCGCACGATTTCTAAGTTGGGCAACCCCGCACTGCGGCAAATTGCTGCGGCGCAGATCGCCGCCACGAAGGAGGCAGGGACGTACAAGAGCGAGCGCGTCATCACCTCCAAGCAGTCCGCCAAGATCGACGTGGAGTCCAGCTCGAAGCCCCTGCTGAACTTCTGCGCCAACAACTACCTTGGCCTCGCCGACAACCCCGAGGTGATCGCGGCGGCGAAGGCGACGCTTGACACGCACGGCTACGGCCTGGCGTCGGTGCGCTTCATCTGCGGCACCACCGACATTCACAAGAAGTTGGAGGACGCCATGACGAAGTTCCTTGGGACGGAGGACACCATCCTCTACCCGAGCTGCTTTGACGCCAACGGCGGCGTGTTTGAGGCCCTGCTGGGCGAGGAGGACACCATCATTTCGGACGCGCTGAACCACGCAAGCATCATCGATGGGGTGCGTCTGTGCAAGGCGGAACGGCAACGCTACGCCCACATGGACATGGCGGAGCTTGAGGCCATCCTGCAGAAGACGCAGGACAAGCGCATTCGACTAATTGTGACCGATGGCGTCTTCTCCATGGACGGCGACGTTGCGCCGCTGGACAAGATTGTGGCCCTTGCCGACAAGTATAATGCGAACATCATGGTCGACGACTCCCACGCCACCGGCTTCATGGGGAAGGGCGGCCGCGGCACACCGACGCTGTTCGGCGTCGTGGACAAGATTGACGTCTTGAACACGACCCTCGGGAAGGCGCTTGGCGGCGCCAGCGGCGGCCTGTCGTCGGGCTCCAAAGAAATTGTCGAGCTTCAGCGCCAGAAGGGTCGTCCGTACCTGTTCTCGAACACGATTGCCCCCGCCGCGGTCGGTGGGACGCTGAAGGTGATGGAGCTTCTGCAGGGCCCATCGGATGCGCAGCAGCGGCTGCAGGAGAACACGCGGCTCTTCCGCACCGAGATGAAGAAGGCGGGGTTGAAGCTGAGTGGGCACGAGGAGTGCCCCATCGTCCCTGTGATGCTCTACGACGCCCGCGTCGCCGGTGAGTTTGCGTCCCGGATGATGTCGCAGGGCATTTACGTCATTGCCTTCAGCTACCCAGTCGTGCCCAAGGGCCAAGCTCGCATCCGTGTGCAGCTTTCCGCGGCGCACAGCACCGAGGACGTGATGCGTGCTGTTGAGGCCTTCAAGGCGATCAAGAAGGAGCTCGGCGTGTAGGCCCGGAAGCCTGCAAGCTTTCCGCGGCGCCAGCACCGGGGATGTGGTGCGGGCCGGCAAATAGCATAAAAAAACGCAAAAACAAAACGTGCTAATTTGAATAACAAGAGAGGGGGGGACGCGTCACCAAGTTCGGAATGCAAGTAATTTTGTGTGTGTTCTCTCCTTCTCTCCTTCTCTCTATCTCTATGTGGGTGTGTGTGGTAGGGCTTTTTTCTTTCTTGCACATTTCCGTGGGGTTTGGATCTTTTTAATGTTTTTCTGCCTCTTCTCGCCCCGCCACACGCTTTGGCGACCGGTAGCGGCAACTGCTGTTGCCGGGGGGGTGGGGTGCGGGGTCACCGACTCCCTCGTTTTTGTCGGCCGTTACGTCGTTCTCTTCGTTTGCTTAAAAAAGCTCCATCGCCGCTCTCTGTTTCGTTTCTTTTTTTTTCTCTCTCTCTCCTCTTCTTGTGGGGGGTTGCAGGTTTGCCCCGCTGCGATAGGCGTGGAGTGCCCCACACACGCACACGCGTGGGCACGTAATGCGGAGAGCCGAGAGGGGGCGAGGGCGAGGCGATGGCTCACGTTGACCAGCTCCTGGAGGAGTACCTGCGTGTCATCAACGCCAAGGACGAGGAGATCCACGGGCTCATCCGCGGCCTCGAGGAGCGCCGGTGTGAGCTGCGGAGGAAGGAGGACACGTACAAGGTGGATGTGGCGGGTGCGCAGCGGCGGCGGTAGAGGTCTTGAACGCGCAGCTGTCGGAGGCGAAGCGGGTCTCGGGTGGGCGGCAGGGCGAATTTGACGAGCTAAAGGCCACGCAGGTGCAGCTGCGCACGCTGGAGTGAAGC